TTACATGATCAAATTCTACTGGTCACAGCTTATCAATAGAAATTTGGGAATTACCTTTCGGAATTAGTAGTAAGTTTGAATCTAACTGGATGCATCAGACAATTAGTTTTAAGGAGAATATAAATTTAATTGAAGATAATATGAGAGTATTTGTAGTTCAGCTAGGGAAGAAGGATTCTGAGGAGAACGTCTCATTCTCGTCTAACTAGTAACAACTGATCGAGGCTAATGTCAATATAATAAATTGTTAGCCACCTGTGGAAAGATTCTAAGATCTTATGTCATTTTATAATTTACACTATGTTGTTAATGTTGTCTTAACACGAAAAACAATGAAAATTTCATTATTAAACTATTCAGTATTCAGGAGATCCAATAACCTTAAAAACTTAACACTTCGTTTTACAGAATGTTATTTTGAATAGCAGCGAAGTATTTTACACTAACCAATGTCATGTTTGTCTAATTCTTAGTGTCTATCAATCAAGTTTCATTGTAGCATCTAATTTAAGGGATTCAATCTCATATTCACCTTATTTTAACGAAATTTGGTGTCATATGAAATTCATATGAACCAGTACTTACTATCGATTGTTTTCGATCATCGACTTATAGTGAATTATCTGTACAACAGTAGTAAGATCAATTACAGTTCTTGTTGTCTTCTTAATTAGTTGATCTTTATGAAGTGACCAATGTCATATATATCAAGTGAATCTTTATTCTGATCGAACCACATCGATCATATTGCAACGTGGTCACTAGTCTAAGTGATTAAACATCGCGTACAATGTGTTGAAATGTATGGTTATGGTTAGGAGAAGTCAACGACAAACCCTACTTGATTGAGGCTCCATACTCGTCACTAGAGTATATCTGTAATCTTGAAGTAACTTATGCTCCATGAACGAACTCAATTCCATATCACCCAACATCACAGTCAGGAGCGTTGCATATGCAATATTCGGGCTGTAACTGACCTCCTCTAGGACTGAGATATATTTACAATTGATTAATCACTAAGTAATAACCAATATCCTATCATGTTAAGTATATCTTGTTGATGAGTATCAAATACAACAAAGCCTAGGCCAAGCAGAGTTTCTTGTCGACTATGTCCAATCCCTTTAATTATTGACGTCATTGTGTTTTTATTCCTTTTGAATTACCATACAGTTATCAACAATTAAAAAGATAATTATAAAGGCATAAGTATCCGTTTATATATTTTTTATTTTAATATAGTTTAATTTAATGTTGGGTGGTCTAAGAATTGAATTATTCTATTTTATTTTTTATTTTTATTTTTTCGATTAACGAAAAATTTTCTGTTCATAGAGATATCGGAGAAAATCGCTCATGACGCCAGATGTAAAAATTGTACGCTTAGCAACTAGACTAAAAATTAAAATGATATACCGGTCTTAAAATTTGATATATTTATAATGTTGAAAGCATAAGAAAATAAGGATAACTATTGTATATGTTAAGAAAAATTTTTTTTAGGAAAATACAAATTCAGTAGTAGCAACAATAACATAACATAAATATGTGTTACATACTTACGCCTGTTACCCCTTGTGGAGGAGCATAGGCCGCTCACCGGCATTCTCCATCCAACTCTGTCCTGAGCCTTCCTTTCCAGTTCTTTCCAGTTACTATTCAGCCTTTTCATATCTGCTTCTATTTCCTGGCGTAGTGTGTTCTTTGGCCTTCCTCTTTTGCGCTTCCCTTCCGGATTCCAAGTTAGGGATTGCCTCGTGATGCAGTTTGGTGATTTCCTTAATGTATGTCCTATCCACTTCCAACATCTTTTCTTAATTTCCTCTTCAGCTGGAAGCTGATTTGTCCTCTCCCATAAAACGCTGTTGCTGATAGTATCCGGTCAGTGAATGTTGAGTATTTTGCGTAGACAACTGTTTATAAATACTTGTACCTTCCTGATGATGGTCGTAGTAGTTCTCCACATTTCAGCTCCATACAGTAGGACTGTCTTGACGTTCGTATTAAAGATTCTGACCTTGAAATTGGTTGACAGTTCTTTTGAGTTCCATATGTTCTTCAATTGTAGAAATGCTGCCCTTGCTTTGCTAATCCTCGCCTTTACATCTGCATCCGATCCTCCTTGTTTATCAACGATGCTCCCCAGGTACGTGAATGTTTCCACATCTTCCAGAGTTTCGCCATTAAGTGTGATTGAGTTGATGTTCTCCTTGTTGTGTTTGAGAATCTTGCTTTTTCCTTTGTGTATATTGAAGCCTATTGATAAAAAATATGTGTTATCTTCTATAAATATTTTTCTGTATGTTACTCAGAAAGAGAAAGAGATGGGTAAAACTTGATTTCAATTTTCAGTATGCTATTCATTATGTTCTTTGTCTGTTTAAATCATAAATTGATTTTAGCGAGAGCATCATTGAAAAGCAGGAAGTGTTAGAGGGCTATTTCGTCGTGGTATGGAACTCTTTCGGTGGTTGGGATCCATGACCACACAAGAAAAGGTGGAACTAATGATATTTAATCTCATGTCTGAACACTTGGCCTCTAGGCCACTGAGCCGACATTCAATGTTGTATAATTTCGAATTCAATCGGTTTGCGATAATGCATGACTATCTTACATTGTCTTCAGTAATTAACTTGATCACATCCAACGCAGTTAAACTCCATTGGTGACGACTCCTCACTAGAATTCAAGAGATTTCCTCTTTCGAAGATAATCATTAGTGGTTACATGATAATACTACGATAAAATGGCCATCCAGTGATTCTAAGTTTTCAATGGTTGTCTAACTTTGGATGGTTTGTGGTTTCAATTTATTTCATAAATTAGATTGATATCATTAATGGGTCAGTGCTAGACCACCATTGAAAACCTGGAAGCACTGGACGGCCCTTTCGTCCTAATGTGGGACTCCTCAGCAATACATTTACCATCTCACACACAGGACTCGAACCCAGGACTTTCGGTCTTGGACGAAACGGTCATCCAGTGCTTCCACTTTTCCAATGGTAGTCTAACACATTGATCCATTTATGATATCAATCCAAAACTCAACCAACTCCACAACCCTATACTGATTGTTTCATAATTGTTACAACTCTAACTGCTCTTTTTCAGTCAGATTTTAACTGTTACACAAACTAATGTACTACTGATATGTACATATATATTTATATCGTTTCCTGTCAAATTGAAGATATGACCTGATATCCTTCACTCAATTAGAGTTGAAATCAAAATGACCTATTAAAAAGACCTTAATTGATGAAGGGTTTCAAAGCTTATTTGTATTAGACAGATGTATGTATGTGTGTATGTGTGTTTGAAGATCCCTTTTTTTATTGAAAAAGGATTTGAGGTGTACCTATATGTGTATCTTTAATTGTGTACGTGTACAATTGCTTATTAAATAATGTAACAAGTTAATCCATTTGGGAGTAAACATATTACATCAACTTTTGAAAGTCTTCTTTAAACTATCCTGTCATATGTTATTTTGTATATGGAGATCTTCAACATGTGGAAATGTTACAAGACTAATAAAGTTTTGTTTATGTTTTGTTTTTACTATGATTCCCTTTAGTATTTTTGTTTAACTAGTAAATGGGATGGATTATTCCCCTTCATTGTGTTTACCCTTCCCATCTTTTGTATTTATGATTTGATTTACAATTGTTTATGTACGTGTATTCTAAGATAAACTACATTATGAATGCATTTGTAATTGTGGACTGATGTTACATTAGTAGTTGAAAACATGTTACTTACATAAGTGTTGTGTAGATTCATTGCTGTTTTCACGTAGACTGTACTATTTCAGAAGAAGGGGTTTTGTGGAGATTTAGTATTTTCATAGTTGAAAGCGTTAGTCAATTGAAGTTAGACCACTATGGAAAACCTGGAAGCACTGGACGGCTATTTCGTTTAATTGTGGGACTCCTCAGTAGTGCTCGAGCTCTAGTGAGAAGCAGTGCCAGTGGAGTTCAAACCACGTCTGTTGTGAGATATCAACTCACTAAAGATAATTGGTGAACGGTTGCTCAAACATCGTGGATTAGTTGAAATTAGACATTAACACCATCGGATGCCAACTCAGTGGTCTAGTGGTTAAGCACTCTGGCGCGAGACCGGTATGTCCTAGATTCGAATCTCGCGAGGCGGGATCTTGGATGCGCACTTCTGAGGAGTCCCATAATAGGACGAAATGGCCATCTAGTGCTCTTAGGTTTTCCACGGTTGTCTAGCTTCAATTGACTAACGCTTTTAACTACTTCAGAAGAGTTCATGATAGATGGAACGTTCAGTGTTTGTTTTTTAGTAGTGCTCTAATCATAATATTACTGAATACTTTTCAGCGGGAGTCAAATGACTTGAGTGAAACATTAGTTTAATTTATTTGTATTGGTTGTTTGTTTCTTCCTATTGGTGTTAAAGATTGGAATTCATCAGTCTCTGTTTTGTACACATACTACCTGTCAGGATTGTCTCGATATTACCATTAGGTTACAAGAATTTTAAGCTACAAGTCGGTTGCTATCTGGACTCAGTAGGTAAGTAGACAACATGATGACGTTTTAAGCGAATGGTATTTGGTTAGAGTCTTGGAGTGAACATCAACTATTGGTTGCAGCTTTTTCAAGCTGACAAGTCCCAAATGGGACGAAACGCGCGTCCTATATTCTTATGTAAGCTGCTATCCATCTCTGCTTAAAGTACTCTAGCTTAGTAGAAAAGAGTTTATGAATATCTGTTTAATTTATATATTATATTCGTTACAGATTGACATAAGTTAAGACATCACTGAAAATAAAAGATCACTGAACCAATGTGTTTAAAGAAAACTTCTTTAGCTAAATTAATGGTAACTGGCTCACTTGTGACGAAGTTGAAAATCTTCCAGAAGCACCAGTGAAAGGTCGAAATTTGTGGACTTCAAAATATTGGGAGTGAAACAATTAGCACCGATAATATTTGATGACTGTCTATTGACAGTTGAGATGATCTGTCTCCCACAGGTATTTATTGCAAAATGCTTTAATAATTGACCATTTAGAATAAAATTCAAAGTCATGTATTCAATTATATATATGTGCTTGTGAGTAAGCGATAAGTCTTGCTAAATGAACTCTTGATTTGATTTTCTAGACGCTTCTAATAACCCAAAACTAAATCTACACGCCAACGTGAACACCAGAGGTTAGGGGAGAAGACTGGTGATATGGTTGAAATTAACTTCTAGAATAAATCGAATTGAGTATTTGTGCATCTTACTCGGTGGCCTAATATACTTTCTCATTCATTCTTGTGTTTTCGCTCAAGTAATCATTTGGAGGGTTAATGCGCTGCCCGTCGTGTATCAGTGTCAAATTCCGAACACCGTCTGTCATAACACTAACCAACTGGGAGTATCATTTCCCATAAGTTTTCATGTACATCTTATTGACGAATGTCAAATATCCCATAACATAAGTCCAAGGTTTCCTTTCGACTACCTCCAATCATTCAAAAGTATGAAACGCTAGTTATGCGTTAGATAGCAATTAAGGCCGATTTAATGAGATAGTATGCGAAGATCATTTAGTTTAATCAGTTATGATCTTATGTTCTTAGTACTTCAAGTTATTTTTAAACTGCTAATGGATTGAGAATAAAGAGAAGATTTGTAACTTAGGTGAATTTACGGTCTCTGAGCTGGATAGTTTAATCATGAATCTTTCATAATACTTCTGAATACCGTTTTCAGTACAAACTTACCTCAACCTGTAGTTTAGAATAATGAAAATTATCTAGAAAGACAATGGAACCTTCACAATTAAATCGTCCAGTTTAGAGAATGGAACTTCACCAAAAGCTGGAGGATTCATTCAAGGCTGTAGTACGTACAAGTTAATTAAAGTGTTTTTTATAACATTCTATTCATCATTTTGACATATTGTTCTGAGAGTTCAATACTAACCTATTTTTCTTCTGGATCTTATGAAGAACAGAAGTTTTTCAGCTTTACCATCAGTTGTCGTTCTTTAACTTCGAAACACTCTCTAACATGATGTATCATCAATATCATAATCATTTATCTGTCTAAAATTGAAGCTGGTTTCGATTCTTATCATATCCAAGGCAAGTTGAATTGAATAACTCAATAGAATTATTTGTTGAGCCCATCATCATCATCATCATCATCATCATCATCATCATCATCATCATCATCATCATCATCATCATCATCATCATCATCATCATCATCATCATCATCATCATCATCATCATCATCATCATCATCATCATCATCATCATCATCATCATCATCATCATCATCATCATCATCATCATCATCATCATCATCATCATCATCATCATCATCATCATCATCATCATCATCATCATCATCATCATCATCATCATCATCATCATCATCATCATCATCATCATCATCATCATCATCATCATCATCATCATCATCATCATCATCATCATCATCATCATCATCATCATCATCATCATCATCATCATCATCATCATCATCATCATCATCATCATCATCATCATCATCATCATCATCATCATCATCATCATCATCATCATCATCATCATCATCATCATCATCATCATCATCATCATCATCATCATCATCATCATCATCTTGAAAAGTCTTCATCTTTTATTTTTCTCGTTTAGTATTTCATTAAAAACACAACTTAATATTTTCAAGATCATTCAACTAATAAAGAAGTATTTCTGAATCTTATTATAGGTCATTTCACTTCTGTTGCTTACTCTATTACCTATTAAGGTGATTTAACAGAGACGTATTTTTTTATCAGAAGGAGGTTTCGTGGAGATTTCAGCAATTTGATAGTTGAAATCATGAGTCAATTGAAGCTAGATCACCATGGTGAACCTGGAAACACTGGACGCCTGTCCCGTCCTATTGTGGGACTCCTCAGAAGTGCGCATCTATGATCCCGCCTCATGAGATTCGTATCCAAGACCTATCAGTGTCGCCCGCGAGCGCCTAACCTTTAGACCACTGAGTCGGCATCCGACAGTGTTCATGTCTAACCTCAACCAATCCACGTAGATGGATGTTCCATTGGATTTGAAAACATTTCAACAAAGTATATTCAAAATCCAATATATTCATATCTCATGATAATGATGACACTTCAAAGTCGTGACTTATTTACGTAATTAGCCAGCTCTTCAAAAGAAAACATTTCTTACGTGTTCATAGACTTCTCACTTTCCCAATGATAATATAATTCATTTATTGAGTATTTATTTATATACTCAACTTTAAGTAACACTCCATGTATGACAGTTTATGATATTTCCTATCTTTCCTTATTGAGGAAATATATAAGGTAAAGTTCAAATTTATATACTTAATTGGTTAAAAGTTAAATGCTTTTACAATTAAATCCTCAGTTCGAACCCAGTACCGTTAGAGTTTCAGAGTGAACATCAACTCTGAAATGCATGTACATCCAGCTGATGAGTTCCAAATAGAACGAAAAGAGCTTCCTAGATTCCACCGTTAGCCATTATCCATCTCTGCTTATAATGCTTGTAAAATAAGGCTATATCGAGGCAATACGCACAGTATGCACATATGCCAAAAAGAGACTGATCAATTGCCATCCTAAACATCAATGGCAACATTCCAACAAACAATACCAATTGAATTTAGAACTTCACCTCATTGCATAAGCAAGTAGCTATCAGGACTCAGTAGCTGAGTGGATACCGCAGTGGCTTTTGAAGCTAACGGTACTTGGTTCGAGTCCCACAGTGGATATCAACTCTGAACTGCAGGTACATTCAACCGAAGAGCCCCATGTAGGACGAAACATGCGTCATGGATTCCACTGCTAGCCACTATCCATCTTTGCTTATATCACATACATAATTGGCTAAAAGTCAGATGCTTTTACAATTAAATCCTCAGTTCATTTATATTAAATTATTCATTAATTAACTATTTAGAAGAAAGAATACCTTAAATATTGAAATTCCCAAGATGGAAGCCGGAAGTTATAGATTAAAACTTCTTTTTTTTTTCTTAATTAGCTTATTACATAATCCAAATACAGACGTACGTACGTACGTACGCACGCATGCACACACACACAAACACACAAACACGCAAAGTTTAGATTCATTGGACAATCCTTTATTTAATGTATACACTAATATAAGACTAACCATAGTAATGAACCTATTGTATAGTCTGAAACAATACATAACATCTTGTATAGTTACTCATTCATTTCTCTACTGAATTAATTTGAAAACATTTTTATATACTACTTATATTGTAAATTATCCATTGAAATTATAAAAAGAAAAATATATTTCCCATGTGGGCTAATTAGGACATTAAAATGTGAAGTAAATAAACTTTATTGGGATTTGAATAAAACAAAATTGTACGTGTAATTACCTTTATCAATGTGAACTTATGATTAAAATTGGATAGTGGTTAGTAGTGGAATGTAGGATGAATGTTTTATTCAATCCCAGGACTCATCAAATTGATTATACCTACATTGAAGTATTCAAGTTTATAGAGTTGAGATCATGAGTCGTTTGATGCTAGACCACCATGAAAAACCTGTAATTGATTAGTCACTTATTGAACTATGTGTATACTATGCGTATTGCCTCGACATTGCCTTAATTCACGTGTTGTATAAGCAGAGATGGATGGTGGATAGCAGTGGGATCAAGGACGTGCGTTTCGTCACAAAGTGAACATCAACTCTGAGATGCAGGTATATCCAGCTGACGAATACTGGGTAGGACGAAACGCGAGCTCTGAATGCCACTACTTGCCACTATCCATCTTTGTTTCGAATATTTTATGTATGATTCTCATAATTTATCAAGATATATATTATCTCGTTGTTCATATTAAGGACCAGAATTAATCATCTTTTATTTGTGCACTTGTATCGTGAAAGGATTACCTCAGTATTACCATTTATTCACAAATATATAATGTTAATATAAACTTTAATATCAGAAGGGGTTTGGTGGAGATTTTAGTAATTTTATAGAGTTGAGATCATAAGTCAATTGAAGCTAGACCACCATGGAAAACCTGGAAGCAATGGAAGGCCGCTTCGACCTATTATGGGAGCATCCACGATACCGCCTTCAGAGAGATTAGAATCCAGGATCTATATGTCTTGCACCAGAGCACTTAACTACTAGACCACTGAGCCGGCATCCAACAGCGTTAATGTCTAACTTCAATCGATCCACGAAATTGAGCAACCATTCACCAATGTCATCAGTCAGTTGATATCGTGGATGAGCACTGCTGAAGAGTCCCACTGTAGGTCGAAACGGCCATCAAGTGCTTCCAGTTTTTCCATGGTGGTCTAGCTTCATTTGACTTATGATCTCAACTCTATAAAATTACTAAAATCTCCACCAAACCCCTTCTGATATTAAAGTTTATATTAACATTATATATTTGTGAATAAATGGTAATACTGAGGTAATCCTTTCACGATACAAGTGCACAAATAAAAGATGATTAATTCTGGTCCTTAATATGAACAACGAGATAATATATATCTTGATAAATTATGAGAATCATACATAAAATATTCGAAACAAAGATGGATAGTGGCAAGTAGTGGCATTCAGAGCTCGCGTTTCGTCCTACCCAGTATTCGTCAGCTGGATATACCTGCATCTCAGAGTTGATGTTCACTTTGTGACGAAACGCACGTCCTTGATCCCACTGCTATCCACCATCCATCTCTGCTTATACAACACGTGAATTAAGGCAATGTCGAGGCAATAGGCACAGTATACACATATTCCAATAAGAGACTGATCAATCACAGTCCTAAAAATCAATGGGAAGACACAAGCAAACAATATCGACTGAATTCATACATAAAATATTTATTTGCACATCATCCTTCAGTTGTCATTCACATCATTTATGGTTCTCTCAATTCTCAATTCTTTTATGTTTCCTTTTCCGTTTTCTTCAGTGTAATCTTCTTCTGATAGCATTCTACTTCTGATCAGCGTTGACAGGTATAAGTAGTATACATCACAGTAGTAGTAGTAGTAGTAGTAGTAGTAGTAGTAGTAGCAGTATTTATCCATTATTTATCTTTCTCTGTATCTTAATTTTAATATCACTGCTTAATTTTAATTGCACACTTGGACTACTTTTAACATTAATTCTCTCTTTTGTCCGTCATTTTGAATAGTTTTCCTCTTACATCATTGATGTGGGGGGGAGGTAGTTTCAAAGTAGTTTCCATTCACATTATATCGTAATATATAATCTGTATTGTAATAGATTATAGTGTTATAATGGATCACTTAATTTGATAAAATACTGAATATAACTGAAGTAACTTAAAGAAGCTGATCTGTAAATCCCAATCGAATAAATATTAACTAATAGAACATATTTTTATGTATAGTTGAAATCATGAGGCGATTAATACTAGATAACCATAGAAAACCTGGAAGCACTGGACGCCCGTTTCGTCCTATTATGGGACTCCTCAGCAGTGCGCATCCACGATCCTGCCTCGCGAGATTCCAATCTAGGACCAACCGGTCTCGCGTGCGAGCACTTAACCGATAGAACATATAGTAGAACATACATTAATCAATTAATTGTAAGCATGTAAATATATACATTTATGGAAACTGAAGTTATTTTTTGTAAAGAGTATATATATTTCAAAGCAACAATATTTCATAACTCCACTACGGAGGACCACTACACGACCTTCAAATCACACAATGAGAGTCTAAACTTCAAACAATTTAGCAGCTATCCTATGGATAATCGTTGATATTTCTCAACTACAATGACTGGAATCCATCAGTCACAATCTAACACAACACAATTGCTCAGTGATTGTATTCTTTACAATAATTAGAGTTTTGCTGAACTACTTAATAAAAATGGTACATTTTTTATGACTTTATAGGGTATCAAAAAGTGTATTAATTCTTTTTTATATTATAATAATACAAGTGTCTTTAATTCAATTCTATTTTTCATGTTGTGTTTATTAGTAGTGTTGTGGTGTATGCTACTGATGTCAACAGATATAAGTAGTATATATCATCAATCAAAAGTGAAATACCTAGCGGCAGAAGGTTAAGAAGATGTAAGAGAAGAGAACAACAACAGAGGATAATTAGTCTGAAAACAAAAGAACAATGAAATCTGAGACAAATGATTGACATTTTACAAATGAAGTATTTACTATATGATTTTCAGATTTTATGAAGAGAATTTGTAATTCTGCAATTCAATTGACTCATGATTTCAACTAAGAAAAATACTGAAATCTCCACGAAATCCCTTCTGATTATAATCTTCATATGCTCACTAGTAACTGATTTCAACATATATTTCCTGGAGTTCTAGTGAGAAGTAGTGACCAGTGGAGTTCAACCACGTCTGTTGTGAGATAGAAACTCACTGAAGACAATTGGTGAACGGTTGCTCAAACATCGTGGATTAGTTAAAGTTAGACATTAACACCATGGATGCCGGCTCAGTGGTCTAGTGGTTAAGCGCTTTAGCGCGAGATTGATAGGTCCCAAGTTTGAATCTCTCGAAGTGGGATCGTGGATGCGCACTTCTGAGGAG